TAAAAATAACAATAATAATTTGTGTCTGGAGTTGTTGACAGCTATCTGTATTTTTATGTGGAAAGCTTACTTGGGAATAAAGCTAATCATAAAGTGCACAGGAGAAGGGCAAGTGTGAAATAAGACAGTTTCAATTACATGGTTTGACCTTGGGTGCTTCTATCTGCCCTTGAGTTTTTCAGTATATGGGTCAATATTTCTTTTTCAATTATATTGAGTTGTATTTAAATTGCTTGTAACTGAAATAAGCTCGTGTAATCTCAGTCCTTCCTCCGAAAAACTAGGTATCATAAAATAATGGGGAAGCACTTACAGATTTCAAAGAAGAAGAGCATTATGATTTAAGAACTTTACACCAAGCTAAGATGACTTTCCCATGTGTAAATTCTGGGAAAAGGCATTATGAGATATACAGGGGCCCAGAAAATAGAGAACCCATAAATTCTTCCTGAACAAACGTTTGCTGTCTTAGCCCAGTTGACGAACATGGGTTCTAACAGCAGAACTCAATTTGGTCTACAGATCTGGTTGACCAGCTGCCTCCCATCTCCTTCGAGAAGACTCGGATTACCTGCTGTGCCCACAGCCCCCTCTGAGAAGGTGAGAGATGGTTATCCTTGCTGTTATGAGCCAGTGACACCAAAGGTGTTTGAACTAGGGATGGGAGACTTACAAACGTGGAATGCCACGTGATTGATTTACACCTCTGTCCACAGTCACCTCTCTAAACCAGGTGATAACGGGGAGGCCTATGAAATACTGTCAAGAAATTTGAATTTGATACATTCAGAGTGTCAGCAGAGAAACACACAGAGAAAGCGCTGTACTGGTGTTAACCATATTTGTTTTCTTTAAGGGTTATGTTTGAATTAAAAAAACGAACAACAAACACATTTTTATAAAATTATACCTGTTGATTTATAAAGTTGGTGCATTGTAAAGTATCCCATATAATCATCATACATAAAAATAGCGTAGTGAATTTAAACTACACCCAAATGCGAGCAGGGTCAATGTTTATGATGTCTATTTTTCTACTTTTTGGTATTTTTCTAATTGCCATAAACTTGTGGTAGTTAAAAAAAAAAAGCTAGTCAGCTGGTGATGGTGATGGGAAGTGGCCTTCCAGGTCATACCGGGAGGTACTCTGTTGAGTAGCAGACTTGGATTTCTGGCCATGTGACCTGTTGGGGGTGGGGTGTCTTGCTTAGTGTTTCTGTCTTGAAAGGATGGAGGTAAGAGGGGCTGTGTGGCATCCAGCCGTCACTGGGATCTTGACACATGTGTGGGTCCTCCTTGCCCTGTCTCTGCTGATTAACGAGAAGCTGCCATCTTTCTTGAATGACTTTGTCATGTCAGCCCTGTCCGTGGATGGCACGTAATGAATTGCCCATCTGTATGGATGAGTAATGCTGACCTTTTACCAAACTAGCCCATGTTCCGTTGTCATCATGGAAATCCAACACGGGCGTAGCTTGCCCTGTTTCTAAATGTAAACATACCCTCCATAACGAACAGCAGTTGGAATGTTTACACACTGTCTTTGTCCCATGACACCTGTTTGTGATCCCAGACGTTTGTCACAGCCTTCTTACCCTCAAGCCAAGGAGCTTCATCTAGTTGGGATGACAGACCAACATAAATTACATAGCGTAGCGTCGGTCATACCAGTGAATGCGTAGTCAAATCTTACTAGCTTTTTTCACACTCTGGACATTATAGAAGTCCCGAGGAAGGACTGTGGTCGTGCTGGACGTGGTATTCGAGTAGAAGGTAAATGGAGTTACAGGAGAAAGAGCTGCCCAGGGGGATGTGGACACCCATGGCCTTTGAGAGACTAGCTATGCAGCCAGAGGAACACAACAAGGAGAAGTCTGTGTATATGCTTTTATTCTGTGATAATTTGGGTTACTGCCTGAGGGTTGGCAGTTCCTGTCCTGGGGCTGAGGTGGGACACGTGACATTTGCTCCGATCCACAAGGACGGGCAAGCCAGCCTCTCCCCGTGGGCCCTGGTGCTTCTCCCCGTCTCCACAGCAAACGCTCAATATCAGATTTCACGAGTCAGAAAGTTAGAGGAAAAAATCAGTTTTGTGGCTGTGGGGCATTTCGAATGTCGTACATTTTTTATGAGTTTGATTATCTTTGCACAACTGCTGACAGCTCATATCCTAAGGATCCAAGGAAGATGAAATTCTTTCTATCTTCAAATTGATTAAAAATACACAACGCGGATCCTACATCCTGCATTTCCAAGCCTCGTACGATGAATACAAAGACACTCTGCAAGTCATCAGAAAGATGTCATGAATAAAATATTTTTATTGATCAATAATTGGTTAGTCACACAGATGAGATCTATATCAATAAGGTGATAAGAAACTGCTAAATTAGGTTTATGAAATGAACATATGGTTTGATTTTTCAATCTACCCTTAAGTATTACTGCTTCCTATTCCTAAATATAAACATTCTTCAAGGAAATGTGTTTCCTTCCTCCCTTCTTTTTCCTCAGTTTATCCTTTGATAGATGCGGCCATGCTCAAGGCTTTCAAATATCAGGCTTGACTCCCCAACTTTTGCTTGTAATAAATGACTTCAGCGTGTACTTGCTAAATAACTGTAGTGTGCCAAGGCATTTTCTAGGTATGCAGGACACAGACGGGGTCTCTGCCGCCTGGATAGAAGTCAAACCACACCTTGCTTTTGGGGGATTGAGTTGGGGAGGGCGCAGGAGGGGTTTTTGGGGTGGTGGCGGTGCTCTGTGTCTTGGCCGGGAACTTCCATGCGAATGTTCACTTTGTGAAAACTCATCAAGTGCACTTGAAAGCAACACCTTTTCGTGGCAGGTTAACATATACAGAAAATGCACGTACATTCTGGTGGATTTTCACAAACGGAAGCCAACCATGCAATCAGCAATGAAATGAAGAAATAGAAATCGCTGATGTCCAAGGGGCACCTCTTAGTCCTCTCCAGTTCCTCCCACCTTCAGAAAATATAAATCAGTCGTGTTCCTCTTTGCACTTGATGGGTCCTGCAGTACGTTCTCTTCGGCACCTGGCTTCTGTCACTCACTGTCATATTTGAGTTTCACTCATGCTTTTGCATGTGGTATGTTGCCTATACTTGCCATTGAATAGTATGCGGTGTGACTATAAACCAGTTTATCCATCCAGTCAAGATTTGATGGACGCTTAGGTATTTTCACTGTATTTGTCATAGTGAATAAAGCTGCTGTGTGCCCACCGTACATGTTTCTTGGTGGACATATATCAGCATATCTGTTGGGTATTTTCCTGGGAACAGGATTGCTGGGTTATAGGTCTGTATGAATTCCGCTCTATTTGACACTGCCCAACTGTTCCTCCAAATTGTGCAACGATCTATACTTATACGCATATGATTGTTGTTCTGTATTTTTGGCAAAAGTTGGTGTTACCTGTCTCTCAAATTTTAGCCATTCTGGTGTGTGTAAGCTGCACACTTGTATGCAATTTAATAATGGCGGAGCTTGGTTTCTTTACTGCTGAGTCTCTAGCACCTAGCACCATGCCTAGTAAATAAGCAAGCTTCCGTCCAATGTTTGTTGGATGCATGATAGATCCTTTATCGAGGATGGGCAGGCTCCAGACGTACAGGGAGGTTTTATGAGGAATTTTCAGGTAGGAAGGACGGATGGGCTTTTATGTGGTACCTGGTGCTCAGTTTTTAGTGATTTGTTCATTCTATGCCACCACCCCCCTCTTTTATGCAAGTCTTTAGCAAAGCCTGTTAGATATAGGGCTGGGTAAGCTTCAGGAAGAGAGGGAAGGGGGTGTGTTCCTGGGGGTGGGAGGGAGGCAGAGGAGGGGCCATGTGATGACGGCAGGTCACAGAGGGGTCCTCCTGTGAAAGTAGGTGCTCAGAGTGAGAGCTGGCAGAAGGGAGCCCCGAGATCCTCAGTCCCAACTTGGAACCTGAAGAAAGATTTGATAGGAGCCTGAAGTTCCCACAGAAATGGGCTGCACATCTGTTTATCTGGATAGCAAAGAAAACGGTGGTGCAAGATCAGTGCATGCATCCACACAGGCGGAATTGTAAGCACACACACACACAACTGTACACGTGCCACCACACACTTGCCCCCAGCCATGCTCTGCCACAGACACACTGCATGCTGGGAAGTGGAAGGGAGCGGGGAGCCATGTAGAGCTTGGGTCCTTCAGGTCTCCTGTTTATCACTGTGGTGTTATGTGAGGCAGACATGTGAGCAAGGACGTAGGAGTCTCCCCTTTCCTACATCTCACTGTCTTGCCTGGGCCTTCAACATCCGGATGCCTAAGACATGGGAGAGTGTGCATTCCCCTCATTACCTCCCTCGTCATGCCTCATGGGCATCAAGGACCAGGTTTGAAAACTACTGGCTGAGTTTATAACCCATGGCTGGTAATATATGTGCATTTTGACAGGCGTTTCCTTAAGGCGATATCTTAACCCTTGCCACCCCCTCCAAATTTCAACCACGTGGTGCGCAGAGCGGTTGTGGAGAAGGGAATCTTAAAGCATTTATTAAATCTTTGACTGGTGGAGGAAGGCCCTTGCTGTCGTAGGAAGTCTGGATGCTTGCCCTGGACTGGTGTTTAATGAACAGAATGACCTTAGGGCAGTCAGTGAAATCTCTGCACCACGGCGTTTAGTAGGGTGGAAAATTCTCGTGTTCAGGCACAGTGTTACCAAAAGGCTTAGTGTAGAAACCAGAGCTAGCTGGGCCTGAAGCTGGGTGATTGGGCATGGGGTGGTGATGGTGTCTGCACCCCAATCTCCTGCAGGACCCCCTGAGATAACTCCTTGGGACTCCTAGGAGCACGGGGTGAAGCTTGCTGAGCTAGCGGGCCTCCGAGGTCTCCTCAAGCAGCAACAGACTGGGATTGATTGCATCTCCGTGCATGCATGCTCGATCTGCCTGCATGGATTCTACCCGGGTTAGACTGGGGTCGCCTGCGATGGAAAACCGTGGCCTTTGTTTTATGCTGGCTAGGTGGGCATTGAAGACCTTGACTGAACCTCAATGCTGGGGCTACCAAAAAACGTGAGGAATGTTGTGTGCCAGCCAAGCCTTTTATTGGCCTATTTATAACTCTTCCCAAGAAGGATTGCATAAATTCCAGCCATTCTGTGAGGCTCTGGGAGGGGGGGCAGGGGGTGGAAAGTTAACAATACCCTTCATTTTGGTCTTCCTAAGAGTTCGATTTTCTATGCTGTGGGGATGGCCTATAGACAATGGTGAACAATGAGTGACTTTTGTTGCTATAAGAGGCATTTTCTAAGCCCCTCTGAAGAAGACGGGGTATGTGAGTGTTGGCATTTTCATCAGATTAGATGTCAGATTTTGTTCCTCAAGCAACTGATGAAGTGGAAGAAGAAGGAAAGTAAAACAAAATCCAGCTTTTGTTTGATTGAAGGACAACAAAATGAGGGACAGTTGAAGATCTTGAAATATACAGAGTAGCAAGACGCAGCTAGGCAATTCCACAGCCGCCAGGTGCCCATTAGAAGTCTGCAGCGAAGGGCATAATATTATGCATAAGGGAGAAGAAAAACATGTGCTTTTATGTTAAT